TGGTTGTGTACACACACTGCCAACACACATTTCAGTTCAAACAACTTGTAAAAGTGCATGTAGCATCCTATGACCCATTTAATTTTGTACACTAATGTTGCCTGTATTGTCCTTTAAAATATACACTCGTAGCTTGTATTTATATATATATATATTATATTTATATACTATATGGTTTATTTTTTTACTTTATATGGTTTATTTTTACATACTTTTTCATACAACTAAAGTTACTAACATTTTCAGGAGCAGACGATTAATTCTCATAAGGATACACAGCATGAACTATTTTTAACCATGGGGAGGCACTGTTTCTATTTCTGAGAAAGTCATCTGCAGTTCAATGTTTCTTTTGAAGACTAAAGGGCATAAGATGCAAGGAAATGCATGAACTCTTGGCAAGCATTTTAATGATGAAGAATCAAAGCTTTGTGTTCTCACAGACCTCATTTTATAAGCTACTTTGGGGACAAGAGAATGGAATCACATGCATAATTATTAGTTACTGTCATCCATCAGATCCAATAGACTGAAGAGGTTTTAATGGGCTGGTTGGACTGAAGCACTGATCAAATGAAATAACGGAACATATGAAAGCAAACAAGTAAACACAGCATTGATGGTTACCTCTGTGTGTCCAGCCTGGAGTCAACATATAGGTTCTATTTCAATTATTCAGGAGCAGTTAATAACAAAGGCCAGATGAGGTCTCCTATGATAACATGTACCCTGAAACACCCCATTCCTTTTTTCCTAAATTGGATTTTTAAGCAACTCACAATGCCCAGGGACAGATTAAGTGAAAATGCACTCTTTTATATTCAAACTATATACTTATACTTAAATCATAGCCTACTCAGTGCTCAAATAACGGATTTCATTTGATATTTGATAAAAGTTCACATTAGTGTAACAGCCACACAGTCCAAATGCTAAGCAACATGACCTTTAAATGAATGAGTCCAAAATGAGATGACATTTTGTAGTTTGCAACAGCACATTACAGACATGTACATTTCTGAGAAGGGTCTGGCTGAAGACTTGCACTCTCAGACTTGCATTCTCAGACTTGCACTCTCAGACACTTGCGCTTCTATCTTTTAATTGCACTTAATGTATCTTAATACAAGTGTCTGTGAGTGCAAGTCTGAGAATGCAAGTCTGAGAGTGCAAGTGCAAGGCTGCAGCCAGACCCTTTTGACATTTCTAGCCTGACTCATAAAATGAGATTATTTTAGACTAATAAATATTTTTAGACTAATAATTGTTTTATTTTTTTGGCTTTCTAGCCTTGAGACAAAAGACATTATTCTACATCTTCAATTGCAAATTGGAATGCCATTTTTATTGTTTTTTTTATTATTATTATTAAAAAGTTACCCACATCATTTCATTTACAAGAACTATTTAATAAAGAATTACAAAAAATAAAGGTGTTACAGAAGTGCAATATGAATAATATTTAATATGACAATGACATGCTCCTCAAAATTAAACAACATATAAAAAAAGAATCCTATATGTAAACCAGAAAATGTCTAGGTAACACTTTACAATAAGGTTCCATTTGATAACATTAGTTAACATGAACTAACAATGAAAAATACTTCTAAAGCATTTATTAATCTTAGTTAATGTTAATTTCAACATTTACTAATACATTATTAAAATCAAAAGTTGTATCTGTTAATATTATTTAATGGACCTGAGCTAACATGAACAAACAATGAACTTTAACAAAGATGAATAAATTCTGTTACAAGTGTATTGCTCATTGTTGGTTAATGCATTTACTAGTGTTAACTAAATTTATAATATCTTATTATAAAGTATTAGTCATGTCTACATACTGGACAGTCCTGAAACATCAGCTAAGCACAGAATTACAAGCCTAAACAAACACTTAAGGGGAAAAAAACAACATTATTACACATGAATTGCATGTCTCAGTGCAACGTGACAAACAAAATATGTTGCATTTGCTGTTCTGATGTTGATCAGTTTTTCGTAATGCAGCACAAAACAACAAAAACAAATATTGTACACTGCAGCTACTTCACATGGTCCCTGGATGAACGAGTGATGGAAGTGATGGAAGTGAAGTAAGTGTCATGCAGAGACGGAATATTAGATGAAAATGTGCTAAGGTTTTTTCCAGATAATCAATTTTTTCACATAAAACCAAGAAATGATACCTGAAATGTTCTGAAATTGTCCTAAAGCAAATCAAAACTTATAATTTAGTTAGAGAATGCAGCACAGTTTATACAACATAGGCTACAACTCAAGGTGTGGTCACATGTACAGCTATTTGGCTAATTTTCATGGGAGATATGCAATCATTTAAATAGGAATCTGCACAATCTGGAGTTTGGCAAGCGAAAGCTTGGTTTGAAAGTGACTTTTGTTTACTGTCATTCAGCAATTTTTTTTTTTTTGCGGGTGAAATCCAGCCATTTCATTAGAATTCCACGTGATCAGGAATTGTTTTTTTGGTAACTTGTTCAAGTCAATCACGCAAATTCAGTGTTGACCAACATAAAGCTGCTTGGTTTGAAAGTGACTTCTGTGTGAACTAAGCTTCATACATCGCTACACTATTGACAATAGACCTTTTTTGCCCACAAAACTTTGGCAAAATATCGCAGATGTGACCGCACCTTAAGACTGAATGCACAGTTAGTGGTCATGTATTATAAAAGGTCAAAAACAACTAAACATTTACTTAGTGTAATATTTCATGTACCTGACAAACATCTTGACAGTTTTTCTTTGAACTGATGTCTCTATTTAACAGTTGTATCTCATATACTGGAAGCATACAATACTATAAAGATAATGACTGCATTAAAAATAAATCCTTTATATGTTGTGAAAGCAGACATTAAGCTATTCTATGTTGTATACATTTTGAAAAGTGGGACACTGAACTGTTATTCTGTGTATATGTTTATTAATCCAAAGAGTAATACAGACATATACAATTAAGGCATAAATAGTGTGTATAGAATTCAAGTACCAGCCAACACTAGACTGAGTGAGGAGCTTAGCGCTCACTACCTTTAGCACCAGTTTATGTTGCAGCACCAGGTACTTCATTACTGGTTTTACATCTGATCTGCCATCAGCTTCAATAAATAGAAACATCTGCAACCTTGCAATTATGTGGAATTGTGCTCTAGCTTTGTGGTTATCTGTGGTTCAAATGAAGAAAAAAAAATGGACGACTTGAACTGCAGTCCTAAATTCCTAAAGTTAAAAGATATGATTTTTCCATCAACAGCTAATCAGAAAAGAAAATTAAATTACTATAGTAGTTACTGCAGTTCTGATGTGTATATTTATAGGCCAACCTGGAAATTGGCATCACCCTGGTTCCCTTCACTAAAAAAGCAACAGGATTTTTTCCATTGGCTTTTGGATTATTGAAGAAAATAAGCTCTGTGACCAATACAAGTTTGATTCTTAAACATTTTGTTCGTAATGCTACTCTTCACATAAAGAATTTTGAAGCTTACAATCGTCCACAGTTGCATGACTTCAAGGTCACCACCATTGAGCTTCTGACAACTCTTAAAAAAACTTTTTTCCCTGAAAGTTTGCTGAAAGTTGTTACACAACAATGCTGTGAAAGTGAATTAGTGAGTACATGAGTTTTCATATTCGAGTGATGATGTTTAATTTCACTTACAACCTCTGTAGTCCCATTTTAGCCTCCTGTTAGCAACCAACTTTTTCAAGACAAGAAAAGTAAAATGACAAGGGGGTTTTACTGATGTATGTTATGCCACAGAATGAAAACATCATGAGCTTGTGTTATGCACAAAACTTATTTTAGGCATTTAACCAAAAACCCATTCAATAAACCCAATGACTTTGGGACGGTGAACCGGAAGAGCTACAATGCCAACTATACATGCTAAAATTACATCATCCCTGCATTACTCTATAGTGAGATGGCAAGATGGTCCACTCTGCTTTACTACCACTTATCTGAGATGATGGGTGGAAATAAGCACTACTTACTGTATGTGTTAAAGGATGTAAGGACAAAGTGGCTCCCTGATGAACTGTAGGTCAATGGCAACAGCTTGACCAGACCAGACGAAAGTCTGTCCAACAATGGATTGGTCCATATCTGCTTTGAGTATTCGTGTGTCATAATCTTGTGTTCCCTGGCTTACAACAGTCATTCTGCTATCCCCCTGTATCTCAGCGACTTGCGGTGCGATCTCCGCCCCGTGATGGCAGCCCGCAGGTCTTGCAGCACTTTGTGCGGACCAAAGGCACTTGGCATCGGCCGAGCCATTGGAGAGTTCGACAGAACCGTAATGTCAAATGGTCCCGTAAACACAACTGACCTGAAAGACACAGAGAACAAACATGAGAGACACTGCAGTTAGGACTGCTCTAGAGAGGCGAGACTGCTTCACCACCTGTGCGAGATACATGCACTAGTGCATTCACACATTTATCCTCAAGCCAGGCAACACATTACAGCAACACAGACACCTCAAGAGAAGCGACAACAAATCACACACACCACTGATGCTGTGAATACCTGAAATAAAATCAAGTTGACTAAATATATACCAAAAAACATTTATGAAATTAAAATCAAATTGTAATGGCTGCACAACAAAACATAATTAAGGATCCTTGTCACATTTCCGAGGTTCTCAGAAGTAGAAGTCATCATTAGTTAACAACGTAGGGGGGAGAAAGATGTCAAATTTGCCATCACTCCCTCAGCTGTTGTATTAGAAACACTCACAGCAACATTAACCATTTTTCTGTAATTTAATGGCAAGGTAATAAAACACAAAGTATAGTGATATAAATGTATGTAACGGAGGCCAGTGAGTAGGTGCTCTGCAGGTAAACCTCACTCCCCTGATCTCGAGGCGCACCAGCGACTGACACTAGTGGCTGCAGTCTTAAGCCTCCTTGTTAGTGCGCCGGCCTCCCACGCCGGAGACCCGTGTTCGAGATCGGACCCGTTACATTGGTGCCGTGACCCGGATGGGATTGGGGGTTAGGGGGGTGAGTGTAATGGAGGCCAGCAAGTAGGTGCTGTGCAGGTAAACCTCACTCCCCTGATCTCAAGAGGCGCACTAGTGGCTGTAGTTTTTAGCCTCCTTGAACACCGGAGACCCGGGTTCGAGACCCACTCGGATCAGGTGAGTGGGACCCGTTACTTGTACATTACATACAAAAAAAAAAAGTACATTTAAAAACAAGCCAAAATTCCATTTGGAGAAAATAATTTGTCCTCTGTTTACTCAACAGGTAAAAGCAGGAATAATTTTAAGAAAATATTGTCAAGCAGAGCAGTTTGACATTGGTCATTAAAAGTGTAGTCATATTAATTTCAGACATCACAGACTGTCAAATTTAAATAGAATTCCTTTTATCTTGGTTATCTACACTGAACAAAATTATAAACGCAACACTTTTGTTTTTGCCCCCATTTTTCATGAGCTGAACTCAAAGATCTAAGACTTTTTAAGACGCCGTGTGTTTTGAGTTTGAACTCCGTCAAGTTAATTCTTTGTCGTCTAATTTTTTATCTTAAAATCAATTTTAGAACCGCCAGTGGCACATCATGAAAATTTGGTCAGCATTTTGAAGCAGTAAAAAAAAAAAAAATAATAATAATAATAAATAAATGTTGCATTATCTAGTTTCTTTTGACCAGAACTTTAATTTCTGAGTCCTTTAAAGCAATTTTTTTTCTTATTACGTATTAAGAGAATAATACGTTCATTGTTGAATTTCGAGCTCTCCAGTAACATTGTGCTATAAAACAGATTCTGTTTAGTCACTTTCTAGGATTATGTTCTAAAAGCCCCATAAAATGTGGGGTCATATGATGAGCATGCTGATGGATTTGGATCCCTTGAGCACTGGAAGTCCAACACACTGACAAATCCTTAATACATTATAAATTCACTCCTGTTATTCAAGCCTTTCCATAACAAGGATTCCAATAGCAAGTCCTGAAATGAACGTGAGTCCTATTTTGAATGGTCCTGCTATGCTAAGAGTGTGTGAAGAAAACCACTAGGCAAATCTTTATCTTGATCTAGAAATCATGTACAGTGTCTGTACCTCACAAAGTCTTAAAACAGCTGTTATGTTTATTTAAACTTTTATATTTATTTATTTATTCTCATATTTGAAATGAGAAATTAATTACATTTTATATTGCTTGGAATATAAAAATACCATATTTTGCCACATTGGCCACAAAATATCTCTGGTGTACCAGTTTTACCTTTGTTGGGCATATTTTTTAAAGCATTCAGCAAGACAATAAATATTTTCTCTCTCTGAATACCATTTAGAAGACATCATGTATGCTAGTAAAAGGCTGATTAAAAGCATACTCTAAATGCCTCATATTTAGCCTTGTTTGAAATAGTGATAAGACCAAAAGCACTTAGAGCAAAGACCAAAAACAAAGAAGGGTTTACAACACAAATTTACAGAAGCAAAGTGTTACAGACAGTCCTACTAAATGAATTTTCAGGGCATTTCCACTGGATAGGCCTCTAACAGAAGGAGTCATTCACATCTTATCACGACACCATCTCCTCATGCTGCTAGATCACACAGTGTGTTGACATCAGTGGGGTCAGGGGCCCCAGCTGCAGTGGGATCACACGCTGCACCCCCTTCACCAAAACCCCAGCAGACCCTTTCCTTCCCACACTGCCACTCTGTTCACAGGCACATAGTGGGAGAAGTGATGTTGTGTGACCCATGTCTCAATTACTTTTCTACTATATCAAAAATCTCTGTCTCCAAAAGCCTCATGTATAAACACAGACTTCTCACAAAACACACACTGAAATCGTGTTCCTATGCACACAATGGATTTTTAAAAAATGCGAATGAACATGTCACAAGTATTTATGTTCAGAAGTGGTCTTTGTCTGCTTTAAATAAAGTAACAAAAGTTAAGTCTATAACACTTTACAATAAGGTTCCATTTGTTAACATTATTTAACCACATTTGTTAACATGTCCTAACAATGAAAAATACTTCTAAAGCATTAATTAAATATAGTTAATAAATGAAACCTGATTGTAAAGTGTTACCATTAAAGGGTTAGTTCACCCAAAAATGAAAACTCTGTCATTAATTACTCACCCTCGTGTTGTTCCAAACCCGTAAGACCTTCGTTCATCTTCGGAACACAAATTAAGATATTTTTTGATGAAATCTGAGGGCTCTCTGACCCTCCCATAGACAGCAAGGTAACTACCACGTTCAAGGTCCAGAAAAGTACCAAGATGATCGACAAAGTAGTCCGTGTGACATCAGTGGTTCAACTGTAAAGTTACGAAGCTACGAGAATACTTTTTTGCGCAAAGAAAACAAAAATAATGACTTTATTCCACATTTTCGTCTGCAGTTTTTTTACTGCAACGGACGCGCGTTCACGACAGTATCATGACTATCGTGAACGCGCGTCCAAAGTGACGCAGTAGAGACGAAAATGTGGAATAAAGTCGTTATTTTTGTTTTCTTTGCGCAAAAAAGTATTTTTTTTACTTGTGACAGAATTTTCCTTTTTGGGTGAACTAACCCTTTAAGTCTTCTTTTAAGCAGCCATTTGATATCTTGAATGGGTTATGACACATTTGCTTTGAACTTTTTGTATTTGCTTTTTTACCACAAATGGGCAAGTATTATTACTATTGTTGCGATTATTTAAGAGATGATAAAACACATTATAAGGCATTATGCATGCATTATAATGCATTAAGAATACCCTTATGATGCATTATAAATGCAAGCTCCATCTGGTGTTATAACACATCATGCTCTTATAAACACAAATAGGTAGGTATTATAATGTAATGTAATGATTATTTATCGGATGATACAACATATTAAAAGGTTGTTTATAAAGCATTATGCATGCATTATAATGCATTAAGAATAGAATACCCTCATAATGCATAATAATGAGGGTATAATGCATAATATTACCAAACTGTTTCTACACCAACTTTTTTCAGTGTAGACTAGGAATGAGAAAGCAGTTATACAAAGCTTTAGTTTTTCAGATTGCTACAGAATTCACCAGCTGCTACAGAAAAAAAAACATTTATTACAAGCATGCAATCGTTTTCTGCCTGTAAGACCTTGAGTATGTAATGCAGTGCATATTTTGCATCTCACATGAAGTCCTAGTTTTTGCTTTTTCTGTGCTCACGTACACCTCATTACCAGCCTGTGAAAGCTGTCATGTCCTGACAGCTCAAAGAAAGTTAAAGCCCACAACACTTCACATGGTGTCTGCTCATCCATGATCCTGTCATTCAAAGTTCATTCAGTCACAGGTTATATGTGATTCACAGCACACTTACCATATTGACAATAAATGTGAGTGCCAGTGCCATATAAGGTTGCAGGCCAAATCAACAAGCAGCAAAAAAAAAAAAACAGATTTAATGGACTGACCATTAACTAAAAAGAACAGTAATGTTTTATTACAAAAAGAGGATGAATTAGGGCCTAATGACATTTCATTTTATGACACTTAATTTTACAGCAAGCATCTTGATTGATTAAATTGCAGTCTCATTGGGCGTACAGCCTAGCCTCATAAATGTATGCAAATATATAGTTAGAGTTTGCTGCTGTGATGATGCAAATGCCAACCAGGCAGTGAGATTTGGCTTACACTTGATGTGGCTCAAAAAAACCCATCCACCAAAAATGTCCATCATTTACCTTAACATTGTGATCACTATTGTTCATTTTCTATTAATATAACCAGTATTGAAATACTTTGTTTGTTTTGGGCAACTGCCATATTCTTTATATAGGCTACCCTTCGTTCATCTTCGGAACACAAATTAAGATATTTTTTGATGAAATCTGAGGGCTCTCTGACCCTCCCATAGACAGCAAGGTAACTACCACGTTCAAGGTCCAGAAAAGTACCAAGATGATCGACAAAGTAGTCCGTGTGACATCAGTGGTTCAACTGTAAAGTTACGAAGCTACGAGAATACTTTTTTGCGCAAAGAAAACAAAAATAATGACTTTATTCCACATTTTCGTCTGCAGTTTTTTTACTGCAACGGACGCGCGTTCACGACAGTATCATGACTATCGTGAACGCGCGTCCAAAGTGACGCAGTAGAGACGAAAATGTGGAATAAAGTCGTTATTTTTGTTTTCTTTGCGCAAAAAAGTATTTTTTTTACTTGTGACAGAATTTTCCTTTTTGGGTGAACTAACCCTTTAAGTCTTCTTTTAAGCAGCCATTTGATATCTTGAATGGGTTATGACACATTTGCTTTGAACTTTTTGTATTTGCTTTTTTACCACAAATGGGCA